GAGAGAGGTGTCGTACGACAGCTTACTCTTCTTATCTTTCTTCTTCTGTACTATAGGTTAATGCAAACTCGTTCGAAGGCCTCTTCGCCCATAACATAAGAAGAAAGATCACCACTCTTATCTCTTCTTCGTACGAGAACGAAGAATTGAGAACGTTCTCTATAGGCACGGCAAGCGCGCCTAAGAGCAAGTTACGATAAAATGATGGACTCTGAGCAGTTCTTACGAAACGACGGGCCGGACGGCCAAAATCACCAAACGCAACCTTCGTACGAGGATCTCCTTGCTAGTAATGAGCAACTTCGGCAAGGCCTTAACCACGCAACAACGGAGCTTCAACGGGCTCAGAATATATTTCAAGAATTTGAACAGATGAAAAACCTTCTCCATACGATTCAGGGCCAGCTTCCTGTCAGCAACGCACAGACGCCTATGACCACTCCAAGCGGGGATAGTCAGCTGCCCGCCCACGACCCAACGCTCACCGCCAGATCCGCCGTACGAAGGTTTGAAAAAGCGAGACTTCCAGACGTAGAAGTCTTCGATAAGGGAACACACGAAGAATACTCCCAATGGAAAACCCGCGTACGGGCAAAGCTCTTCGCTGACCACCTTGCGTACCCCACGGAGGAATACCAAGTACACTATGTAATCACTCGTACGAAAGGATGGGCCTTTACCGCCCTTCAAGCTTACGTCACAGCGGTAATGGATAAACAAAAAGAACCATCACTGAACGAGCTTTGGGTTCAACTAGACGGATTCTTCCAAGACCCGACGATCAAGCAAAAAGCTCTACAATACCTTCGTACGACGAAGCAAGGTAAAGAAGAGTTTCTCCCTCACGTACAAGCATTCAACTTGAAGTTCCACGAAGCGGGACTAAGCTCTCTTAACGACGCGCTCAAAATTGACTACCTAAAGAACTCGCTAAATAGAAAGCTACTCCGCTACCAAGCTGGCTATCAACCTCCAGTTAGCGAGACGTACGAGGACTTTGTAAATAGAATGCGCGTTACTTGGGAAAACTTAAAAGCGGTAGACCAGCTTTCGTACAACGTGATAGTCCACCCTAAACCTTCCTCTTCAACCAACGATGCGATGGATTGGACTCCAACCGTGGGCGCTATGCGCCCCCGCACGAGGAATGAATATTGGGGCACGAGAACTCAAATCGCACAACGAAAGGAAGAAGGCAGCTGTCTCCGCTGCGGACTTCAAGGCCATCTCGTACGACACTGTAAAGCTACAGTACCCGAACGTATAAGGAACCCTACACCCACTACGAAGACAATGGCAGCTACTATAGAAAGCGACAGCTCCGACGAGGGAAAAGAAGAGCCCTAGCCCAAAAACGCCGGCTAGGGCCACAGAAGCAAGTTAAGAAGGTCGTACGACCAACTCGTAGTCTCTTACAACAACTAGAAGCTACTTCGCCTATGTCTATAGACGTAATCATTAATAGTATCAGAAATGCTACTGCTATGATTGATAATGGGTGTTGTACGTACTCTATAGTTAATGAGACGATTGTCCAAGAACTTAACTTGCCACGCGTGCCAATAAGACCTCGCGCAGTCGTAGGCGTGAATGACCAAAAGAGCTTCGTACGAGCTATTACTGAGTTTACGATCGATGTAGGGGGAGTAAAACGACGAGCAGCCGCTTATATTGTCCCATCTACGTACGAGTACGATATGATTCTAGGAAAGACCTGGCTTGAAGACGTAGGCGGCGTAATTGATGCCCCACAACGACGCTTACGCTTTTGCTACTACGGAATCTCAGTTCCGAGTACCGAGTCCTCCGTACGAGAAATGAACCCTCTTGCAGTCTCCACGGCCGCCTTTAAGCACTACGTACGACAAAGTAAGAAGCGGCCAGCTATACAAGTATTCGCCGCAAGCCTCCAAGACATCGAAAAAGCCTTACGTCCAAAGACGCTTCTTACGAAAGAAGAGGTAAGGCAGCAACTCCCTACCTATCTACAGCCGTACGCAGAGCTGTTTACGCCAAAAGAAGGAAAGGAGTTACCTCCTCTAAGAGGCCCAAAAGTAGACCACCAGATCGAACTTGTACCCGACAAGGATGGGAAAACACCAGAAGTCCCGTACGGGCCACTCTATAGCATGTCAAGAGATGAACTTCTTGTGTTAAGAAAGACGTTGTACGAACTACTCGAGAAGGGGTTTATTCGTACGAGCAACTCTCCTGCAGCCTCGCCCGTTCTATTTGTACGAAAACCGGGAGGAGGGCTACGATTCTGCGTCGACTATCGCGCTCTAAACGCGATAAGCCGAAAAGACCGCTACCCCCTCCCGCTCATTCGCGAAACGCTAAACCAAGTCGGACGAGCAAAGTGGTATACGAAGCTCGACGTTACAGCAGCCTTCCACCGTATCCGTATTGCAGAAGGACAAGAATGGATGACTGCCTTCCGAACGCGCTTTGGATCGTACGAGTGGCTAGTAACCCCTTTTGGACTCGCGAACGCACCAAGCACGTTCCAAAGATACGTCAACTGGGTACTACAAGACTTCCTAGACGACTTCGCCTCCGCCTACTTAGATGATATTCTTATCTATACAGATGGCTCGCAGGAACAACACCACGAACACGTACGACGTGTTATAAAGCGTCTTCAAGCCGCAGAGCTACAGCTAGAGCTAAAGAAGTGCGAATTCGATGTCCAACGTACGAAATATCTCGGGTTTATTCTCCAAGCAGGGGAGGGCGTATCTATGGACCCAGATAAGACAAAAGCAATTCAAGAATGGGAAGCGCCAGTTACCGTACGAGGAGTGCGAGGATTTCTAGGCTTCGCCAACTTCTATCGCAGGTTTATCCCTAACTATTCTAAGCTCGCCGAACCTCTCGTACGCCTAACTAAGAAGGACGAGAAGTTTGAATGGGGACCTGAGCAAGAATTAAGCTTCACTGCTCTAAAGGAAGCATTTCTCTCAGAAGAAGTCCTAGTTGCATTTGACCCTGACCGTCGTACGATCGTCGAATGCGACTCCTCCGGACGAGCCCTTGGAGCAGTGCTACTCCAGGAAGATGAGAATAAAGCCTTACGTACGGTTGCTTACCTATCACGAAAACTACTAGTGCATGAAGCAAACTACCCAATCCACGATAAGGAACTTCTAGCGGTTATTGCCTGCTTAAAAGAATGGGATGCGGAACTCCGTGGCGTACGAGAGTTTGAAGTTATTACTGACCATAAGAACTTAGAGTTCTTCACGAAAAAGCAGAAACTCTCGGAACGTCACGTACGATGGTCTCTCGAACTAGCCCGCTTCCCAAACATGAGACTTCGATATCGACCTGGCAAGGACAACGTACGAGCAGACGCCTTATCGCGACGAGACCAAGACATGCCCAAGGACGCCTCCGACGACCACCACGCCTCAAGAGAATTTACCATGCTAGTACCAGCGTATACCCCAGACCCGATCCTTGCACTACCTGTACGGCCCACAGAAACCTCCCTAGTATCGCCTACACTCCCACAACCACCGGACCTCTCAGAACTAATCCAGTCGTCGTGGGACCGCGCCGTACGAGAAGACTTACTCTACCAGGGAATAAAGCTAGCCGTACGAGAGAAGAAGCGCTCGCTCCCGAGCTCAAGAAGAGTCGCAGTCTCCTTAGGCGATTGTACGATCAACGATCAAGACCAACTCTGTTGGCGTGGTAGAGTATGGGTACCCGACTACGAACCACTCCGTACGGGAGTTATCCAGGTAGCCCACCTTTCCCTACTGTCGGGACATCCAGGACGAGAAGAAACCTACCGAATCGTCGCACGTGAATGGTACTGGCCGAACCTAGGTAACGATATCCGCCGTTTCGTACGAAACTGCGAGTTGTGTCGCAAAAGCACACCCTGGCGAGATGGGAAATACGGATACTTACGACCGTTACCTGTGCCTAGTCGTACGTGGCAGCACCTCACTGTGGACTTTATTACGGGGCTACCACCATCCCAAGGGAAGACCAACCTGATGGTAGTGAAGGACCGGCTAGGCAAGAGCGCCGTACTAATCCCTATGGACAAAATCGAGACGGAAGACGTAGCTTGGGCGTTCGTACGAGAAGTCTACCGGCACCATAGTTTACCACAGTCAATTACGTCCGATAGGGGCCCTCAATTCGCAAGCTCTCTCTGGAAGCAGATCTGCCAACTACTAGGCATCCAGCGCAACCTCTCTACGGCATACCACCCACAGACGGACGGAACGACTGAACGCGCGAACAGCGATATCGAAGCTATCGTACGAATCTTCTGTAACTACGATCAAGATAACTGGTCACAGCTTTGCCCCCTCCTAGAACTTATGCTCAATTCGCGTACGAACGCGGCAACAGGAGTCTCCTCCTTCTTCCTCCACCACGGCTACCATAACACTCCCTTTCCACAAGAACAAGATATCGCGCGGACTACTGACGTAACCGAAGCTGCAAAAGAAATAGTCCGTACGATTAGTAACGCCTCAACTTGGGCTATATCCGCTATGACTTACGCTCAACAAGAACAAGAACGACAGGCAAATAAGTCTCGTAAGCCAGCCCCAACGTACCAGGTAGGAGACTGGGTATGGCTAGATCTACGCAACGTACGAACTACAAGAACTAGCAAGAAACTCGATTGGAAAAATGGGAAATTCCAGGTATCACGCGTACGAGACCCCTACTGGGTAGAACTAGCCGTGCCTTGGGAAACTAAGACATACCATGTGGACAAAATCCGCCCAGCCGCCGACGACCCTCTACCATCCCAGCAAATAGACGACTCTAACCCAGCGGCTATTGTCGTACAAGACGAGAATGAAGAAGAGCACCTTGAGTGGACCGTACGAGACATTACGGACGAGAGGAGGCGACAAAAGAGAACAGAATACCTTGTTCATTGGGTAGGCTATCAAATACCTACATGGGAGCCCGCTGCTCACCTCACGGACACTTCGGCCCTCCAGCATTGGTTAACTTATACCCGGCCCGTACGACAACCCAATGGCCAGCTTAAAAATAACTGGCGTAAGAAGCTCCAACTACTCAAGGAGCAGCGGGTTGAAAGGACCCCCCAGAGCCGGTCGCCTACGCGGGCCGCCGCCGTCCGAACCACCAGACACGCGCTTGGAGGAAGCCGTCGTACGACCCCCAGGACCACGCGGGACGTTGCAACGAGCGCCATGATCCTGCCAGATGCAGTTGGAACAGGCTCCTCCCCACTCACCCAGAATCGACACACAGCCCGCAAACGCCGTAAACTCCTTCTCGCCCTCGAGGACGGCAGCGCAGTTATTCGTACAGAACCGCGCGTTAAGGCCACCACGAGTGTGGACGACGAAAGCCTTGAGATACGACGGACGACCAGTAAGGATCTGGCGAGCAGTGATCGTCGTACGAGCTACGATAGGCGAGTAATCGCGCAAACCGGCACCAAAGATGGCATCGTAAGGGCTGTTACCACGGGGGCGGCAGAAGAAGTCGAAAACGCGCCGAATATCCTCCTAAACCCAATTAACCCACGAGCCGTACGGAAAGAGAAGAAAGGGACTTACAGGGGCGGCAGCGAAAACACGACGAAGCTCGTCAGCGACAGCCACGTCGAAGATGTACCAGACACGATACTCATTGACATTAATCGTGCCAGCGATGTTGACAGCCGGCTGAACCGCACCAGGAGTCGTACGGGTGAGAGCACGATCTGCAGCAGCAAAAATCTGAGCTGCCACGGCCGTGATGGTATCGTTGGGAGCACCGTTGGAGCAGAACTGCAGAGCGTTCACACCACCCGTATCCCACTGCCCACGTCCTCCAGGCTGCGCTTTTGGAGGCATCGTACGAAGAAGAAGAAAAGGAAAGGAAAGAAGAGTAAGAAATTTGAGTTGGAAGAGAGAGCGGATCACGACTGAGGAACGAGCACCAACTAATGCGACGGCACTGATACTTATACCGTACGGAAAGTCGTTTTCACTTAACTTACTACGAGTTTGCTAGCAAACGTACGTCACAGCTAGGTAACAACATAACTATTCAAACTACGAGCAAACACGCGGACCGCCAAGCAGCCGCATACGGTATAGAGGGGGGGTATTGTAATGGGCTGCGCCCGTGGAGTGAAAGCACGTGATTGTATCACGTGCCTACATCACGTGCCTATATCACACCGCTTAGTTAGAACTTACTCGTACGAAGAGTAGAGAAGCAAGGTATAAAGAGAGAGGTGTCGTACGACAGCTTAACTCTTCTTATCTTTCTTCTTCTGTACTATAGGTTAATGCAAACTCGTTCGAAGGCCTCTTCGCCCATAACACTCTAAATCTTAGAGAATTAACATAGTCTTTAACAAATAGCTGCGATATTATTTTAAAGCCGTTACCAGCTAAGACGAGACTTTTAATATAATGTAACGGCGCAGGCAAGACTACTCAGATCAGTATTGGCGGTAGTATCACTCAGAGGCATATAGAAGTGCGTAGGACATCAAACGAG